CAGAGACTTATGCCATTTTCTGCCTTCCTTCCCTCAGCATAACACCATTTCATTTCAGGTTCTGTGAAGCAAAGTGGAAGGGGAATGAGTTGACAGCAAAATAGGGAAAGCATGGCAGCTCTGGGCATATTTTTTATGCCTTTAATTTGCAGATTGTGCACCCATTTGGCACACAGGTGCAGTTTAGGGCTCATCTCCCTTCTCATGGTTATGATTGATTTCTGAACATAAAATCAGTCAAGAACACAGATTTCTGTGTAAATATGGTTGTAACTAACTCAATCTAACCCTGCGAATCTTGCTTCCAAGATGAATACAAGTAACAAAATCTGAAATTGATGTCTTCATTACATCCTTTGTTGTGAAAATCAAAATGTAATTCAGATCTATTGTAAAACTTGCAATAAACATGCCAGGAAGAAAGAGACTGGAGCTGTTTTGGAAGCAGCTATATGCTGTCTAAATCAGCCTTTTGTGCCCAGAACTCTGACAGAGATAGATAGCACAGATTTCTTTTCAAATGTTTCACATAGGACAAAAACCCTTCAATGTCACTGATTTTCTCTCTTTTCTATTTTGATCAATGACTGCTAAATTATATATGTGTGCATAGAATGGAACAATAAGGCATTTTACGTTAGTCTGCTGGCAAGCTGCATGGACATCACTCACATCATAACCTGCCTAATCAAGGTTCAGGAATAATTTTTCAACGTCTCGTTCCTGTGCTTCAGCTATCCTGTGCAAACAATGACATATTAATACCAAGCCACAGAACATTTTCTTCCTGCTTAGTAACATTCACAAGGATGCGCTACCAGAGCTTTTGGTCCAGTTTACAGTAAATCAGCTATTTTATGCACAGCTATGGTTCCATAACTAGATTCGATTACACAGCATTACAAGGAACAGTGCAACCGAAAATATATTCTAAAAACATTTAGTAACACATGGGGTCAGATGTGGCTTGTTTGCCATATTCTTGAATTGGATTAAAAATCTGCCTCCCCTTCAGTTTCATTGGTATTTCAGCCGGCAAGTTAAACCCACAATTACCAATGAGGCAAATAGAGACTTGCCAGGAACTTTAAATTCTGCAGAAAGCAAAAGAAGGTCAGCTGACCAAATTTAGTTGCAAACACTGACATCAGACTCTCTGTACAAGAGTACTAAGAGATTTGAACAGAACTGCATAGTATACAACCACACCAATGTAAGCCCTGGAGCCTTTGGTAGTTTTTGTAGTGTGTTTGCAGTATCAAAATGTCTCTAAAAGACTCAGAATTGCCTTCACACCCAAGAGATGTCTGTGTGAGACTTCTGCAGCATGACTCTCATGAGTAGTTGGCAAGAGGCATCTTTATAATACATTTCTGCAGCAGCTGAGAACTGATGCTATCAAAGCTGATGTTTCCAGCTGTCTCGAGTAAAATAGAAAAGAGCAAATGCAAATGTTATGTCCAACAATACCCACTTTTTACATGAATTACATAAAACAGAGACTATCCAATGGTTTGAATGTAAAATTATTTTGCATATCAGCATTTGAATTGGCTTTAAAATACCACTTCTTTTACAGGCACCTTTACCACGTCTAAGTTTTGCCAGATGTAAACATCAGGTTTCTGTATGGACTATGGAACTTACCAACTATTCTGTGCAGCTTCTACAATAAATCTGATTATTAGAACAAAAAAGAAATATGGAAAACCCAGAAAATTCTGTTAAGGACATTGCACAGCCTTACTTTCACACAAGTTAAACACAGTACTTCACAAAACCTTTCAAAAATATCTCCTTAATTTGCAGATCTCTGTCTCTTTGGTCTGTCATGATTGCTTTTCTCCTTACTGTCCTGCTTTTCTGCCAGATAAAAAGGCTTGGTTTATACCTTAAATTCAAGAACTAACACCGTCATGACAAGAAAATTGAGCTTAACCAAATTAATTCCCAGCTGCAGTGAATAGTCTGTGAGCTCATGATGCACAGTGAGGTGCGCTGGGCATGGACAAGTCGGTACCTGGAGTCTCAAAGTGCAAAGATTTCTACTTGCTGCTTTCTACAGTCATAAAAGGCAGATTGAATTGATGGACTTAAACAGATCAAATGCAAGGTTGTCTGAGACAGGTTGAGATCCCGAGCACACTTTACTGCCTTGATTCTATAAACAGAACTTATTTGGGAAATGCTTTTCCTTCTCAAGTCCTGGATATCATTTGTTAAGCTGGATGTCATTAAGGCTCCACTTAAATTAAAAACAAAGAAACAAACAAACAAAAAAAGACAATAAAGGAAGTATAATGTGTTTTTCTTGTAAACTACTTGCTTTAAAATACCGTAGTATGCTGTAAGAGAAAAACAGGCTTATAAAATGTCAGATATACCTAAGCACAACAGCCTAGACTAAACCTGTTGGTCTGTCTGCAGGACAGCAAAGTACTGCTATTAGCATCAAAAACTCCTTCCCACTGTTATTTTGCACTGATTTGTTAATATACACAGCTTTCAGCAATGTCCTGCAAACATGGCGTTTCTACTACACTGAGCTTTCACTGGTTCTCACAACAGATCAAGTTTCTTCAGGAGAAACCGTGCTAAGCAATCTAGTAGTTTAAAACTTCCATAGACTCCATGTTAAAACCAGAGCAATATACCCTCCCTGCTTGTGTTCATTTTACCTCTTAAATTTATATCTCTGCAAATGAATGCACATGAAAGTCTCAGAATTCAGGAGCTTTAAAAAATGGCAAAACCAGTAAAGAGCAAAGAATGTAAATGCTCTCAGTGTTGCTCATACAGACTAAAACAAGCACAAAATGCCATTTACTGATCGAAGCCCATGACTTTAAATGCATCCTGTGTGTCCCCTCAATTTTTAAAACATAACCTTTCGTTCACTAGTTTTTTGGCAGAAATGTCACACAAGAGTCTCATACCTCTACATACTTCACTAACTGATCAGTGCCTCTACCAGAGGTGCTCACACTAATTGTGGAGCCAAAAAAAATACAGATCTTTTGTGACATATACACTCAATGATGTCAGGTTGCCATTCATGGAAATTCTACCACCCAACAGTCACTGCATCCTCGTGGTTGCCTCTCAGCATCCAAACTTCGCTATAATTTAACTCCAGAAAAACTCCGTGTCCCAAATGGGACTGAGCAAGTGGCACTGCTCAGACATACAGAAAATCATTGCAGGACTTACAGTTTATTTGGCCCAGTGAGTCTCAGTATTTGAAATCTTAAAAAATTATTTCATCTACTTCACTTCTTTTTGCATTAACTTTTCCCAGCTTGATTAAGGGAAAGATGGAAAAAAAAAAAGCATTCATTTTGTCACACATCAGGTTGATTTCACAGAAATTATTATCTACAAATGTGGAGCCAAACTCAGTTGAGATCTGTAATGGATTTCCAGCAAGTTTTACACCAGTTTAACTGTTCAGAGCTCTCAAACTACACTGAATTTCACAACAATATGTTTCAGCAAATACAAAAAATGCAGCGTGTGGAGTACCAGGAAATAGCTTTATTATATTTATAGGCACCAAATGCCCCTGTGAAGTTGTTTGTGATGGTTTACCATTTGCAGAGTTCAATCAGAACAGCAAGTTAAGGGAATCGAAACGGAAAAAGTATCACACTGATTTAGATAAAGTCGGTCCTAAAATAATCCCAACATTCACACTCGGCAGGTAATGAAACAATTGTTTTACTCAGACAAGAGTGTGGAAAACATGAGAGAACAATCAGAAACATACTGGTTGCTTCAGAAAGGACCTGCTGCAAGCAGCCTATAACTTGGTCCTTCAAGATCTGGGCTTACTGAAGTAAATTAATGCCTACCAGTGTATGTAAGAGGAATGTCAAGTACAGGTAAGACAGTACACACAAAAATCACACATATGTGGTTTCAAATCCACGTCCCCAAGCCCTGTGTATGTTTGGGCAAGCAAATTATGCTAGTTTATGAAGAAGCTATTCCTGTACCAAGACATATAATTGATGCCAAAAAATGCCAATATATAATAGATAGAATTAAATAAATTTAGAAATTAATTTCACAGTGCTGTTTTCACATTCTGAATACTCTCACCCATTTATAGACAGTGCTACTGTTAGATATTACAAACTCCAAGAAAGTTTTACTGACCAAATATATCCTCTTTTTTAAAGAGCTAATGCATTCCCCTGTGCACACAAAATAGTGGTACTATTTTGTTCACACATGCTTTTCTTCACTGAGAGAATGTGACACAACTTTGAATCATATTTGCATTATCTGTCTAGTAGGAAGTTAGTCTGTATCAGCCTGACTGATACAGAATGCTGTTTTAAATGTTCAGTTTTAATTCCATAACCCTGAAATACCTTGCAACAAAAGAAGATTAAAAGTATGAACCCCACACTTCCTCTAGAGCATCCACTGGCAGTAGAGCAAAAAGGGAAGATAAAGGGACAAGATGAACCGTGTAATCCAGTGGTGTAAGGTAGGCAGAGCTCCTGTCCTCTGAGCTCAGGATTCAGCTGGGGAACCTCCCCGATGCAGGAGGATTCAAAACAAGGCAACAACCATTTTTAATATGCAGCAAATTTAACTCCGTGAAAAGTTTGCAGAAGAGTCAATATGCTCCAAGTGAAGTTGTACTGGTATGCCACATAGAAACTGAGTAATCCATAGCACTATTTTTGCTCTCTTATTTTTCCCTTCAACCTTCTCCCTTCACCTTTTCTGATAGCACCCAAAGCCAGGCAGACCTATAAAACAATCCAGACTGCCTTACGATTTCAGGCAAACAATACAACATACACACACTCTGTAAAATGCAATGGCTTTTCTGCACTGTATCCTTGTAATTATTTTGGTGTTTATTCTGTTAAACATTTAACGTAGACATTTTGTGACTCCAACAAATATTAACTTTAGAAAAATCCTATCAGTGCTCCTAAATACAATCACCCTGTTATTTCCTTTAATGAATATACAGCTCTCACCTGTACATGAATAATCATCGATGCGTATATATCCTGTTTTGCAGATGCACATAAAGGATCCTGGTGTATTTACGCACATGGTGTTCTCACGACAGTAGTGCCGTCCTTCAGCGCACTCATCGATATCTGTGAACAAGGCAAAGAGGAACACAACTCAAATTCAGTGGTGTTCTTTACAATATATCTCAATATGTCACTATTCACTTTCATCAGTAGTGGGTTAGAATAAAAAGTTACTTGAGCAGCAATGTGTTTGGGAAACATTTTTGGTTTTCTCCTTTAAAACAACTGCTTGAAGTGTTCAAACAAGAGAAGCAGCATGAGCTTTCTGTGAACAGCTGTTAGTGGAGTTACAAAGAAGATTACACTGGCTTACATCTTTCCTTTTGAAGTGGCTATGATGTTATTCCTATGATTTGAATAAGAAAAAACAACAAAAAAAAACCAAACTGGGGTCCCAAACAGTAGACCAACTGCATCAGTACTGCAATGTCTTCCATCAATGTACTTGTATAGTCACTGCAGTCATCAGTATACAAACACACTACTATATGCATACTATATGCTTTTGATCTAACAGGTATTGATGTTTGGGAAAGAACTGTAAGGAACATGGTAAGATCTGAAAAGACACCGGAACTCACTATAAGTTTCTCTTACAACTATAAAGTAGTCAATTGATAATTTTAATACATATAAACACATATATCTATATCTATACATATCTATGTACATAGGTATATAGATACATATAAACACACCATATCTGAAAGGAACCTGAAAGACTCTGATTTATATAAAGACCTGATAGAAAAAATTTGCAACTTGATAAAATACTCATTGGGGTGGAATATCTGCTGCAGTATAAAGGCCTATAGCAAACTCCAGGCATAAATCACTGGAGGCACGGACTTCAAAACATGATTGGCTTTGGTACTCCCTTGGGCTGCAAAATTAGACGTATTTCTTGTAGCAGGTTATATTTCAACGGTAAGACAGAGAAAGCACTACAAATAACAAAAAAACCTTCTGCATACTATTATTATGCTGCAGAGAAGAAAAGCCATATTAATTTGGAAGTGATTAGTAGCATGCTGTTCCTGTAATACTAATGATAAAAGACAGCATTACTAAGATACTCTGTATATCTAGTTGCATTACCGTGCAATGTGCCACTGAACCTTGCTACAAAATTATGTCAGAAATCAAAGGGGTGGATTGTTGGCTTGATTTTTTTACCTGCTCATGGGTTTTAATTTCCTCCCTGTTTTCAATAATTTTTACAGCTTTCAGAGTTGAAAATAAAATCTCTGGATGGAAAACAGTGTTGTGTTCCAGAGTCTAATGACAGTCCAAAACAATAGACTGGATATATAAACTCAAATCAGGGTTGACTTCTAAATGTTGTAATGCCAATGTCAACCACGTTAACTACTGTACTTTACTCCTGTTTAGGTTGTATGCTTATGTCCCAGTTCTTCCTCTTTTCCCAGTGTCTTTAAATCAATAGCTACTTACCAACTGCACTCATTGCCTGCTATTTGCTTCCTCTTTACATTCCCAGAAGAAAATTAGCCTTCCAGTAAAAAACAACATGACACACTGAATATTAGTGATTCTATAGTGATTTCCTAGTTCCATTCAGTTTTGGAAAAAACCCCACCTATTTTCCCCAGTTTCTCTGCCCAGTGCAACTGTTCTGCTGGATTCTGCTGGAGAAGCTGAGGGCACTTTGTTAGAAGCCGTGACAGTGTTGACTGCCAGTGCTCAGGGTAGTGAGCCCAGCCTGCTTTGCACAAATTCAGTTCCTGAGCATTTCATGGCCAATACACTTCAGCTGGTTCCCATCCCTTCCTTTCCCTGTAAGCTCTGCAGACATGGAAGAAACATTCCTCTACTGGAAAGCCAGTTTGGAACAGCTGATTTTCTAATTTTCAGGTACACGCATACCTACATGCATAAACAAATGTGTATTTACAGTGAGCACAGTGAGCATACTAAGACTCAAAACACATGTGAAAGTCACCTAAGGAAAAAAAAAAAAAGTGAAGCTATCACAAGTCTATCACAGAGGCAGCTGGTTTTGCACAGAAAGTGGAAAATGGTACAGATATCCTGATGTACAGATGCTCTGCAGAAACACAACTGCGCAGTTCACAAAACCAGCCAGCAGTTACAACACATGCCTCCTCTACTACCACAAATGATGCAACTTGTGTCTTTCATAATTCTAGTTCAGAACTTCATATAAATTAATGGTGTTGATTTGTATTTAAGTAACAGCAGTTTTCGAGTAATTAGAGGCCTTATGTTCTTGGCATCAACAGACGGCCTAGGAGCTGGTTTTGGCACTCTCCGAAAATTCTACTTAAAGATTCGAAGCCTCAAAAACATTAAATTGAACTTTCTGAAAACTACATTAATGATTGCTTTTACAGGTAAATAGCCACAGGGGACCCAAAACACTAATGAAAAATGAAAAACTTAAAAGCCAGAGCTACTTTGATTCAAATCTTCTAATTCAAGTGTTCTAAATAAAAGCTTTCTTTTTGTCAATATACCACATACTGAGGTTTTGCAAAATATTTTATTTATAAAACCTTGCCTGTTAAATTTTCACCAAAAAAAACCTACCACAACTTATCTGTTTAACTTTGGATTTAGTGTTTCATTTGAACAAATCTGATTTTTTTTTTCTCCAAACTGATTTGTAAAGATATTGTCCACATTTTTTAAATGCTCACTGGAAAACAAAACTCTTTTTTTTTCCCACTCAGCTCTCTAGAAAACCTAAAGAATGCAAAGGAAATAAAGCGATTATTGTTACTACTATAACATTATTATATTACTTTGGCACCTAAAGACCCTAATCAAGTGTCAAAACACCATGGACACATAGCTAGTAAGAAGCTGTTTTTACAAACAATTTGCAACTTTAGCACTAAATTACATTGCCACAGGACAAAAAAAGATAATTAATCAAAAAAGGATAAAGTAACAAATGAGAACTAGTCACACAGAGAGTGTGCAATTCCATTCCCCCCTTTAGCACTCCATATGCAAGCTTCATATAGATTAAGTTTAGGTATTACAGACCAAGGAAGACTAAGTTGGGGCAGGGGAAGAAGCCCACAACTGGGCTCTTTCCTGGTCTCTTTCAAAGCTTCCAAAATAAAAGCCTTTTCATCCTGCTTGGTGGTTGAAACATTGGTGTAGCCTTTTATTCACCTTTAGACACAAACGCCCTTTGTACAACAGAAAACCTGATGCATTTCAATATCTAAGAAAGCATACAACATTTATCTTAATTTTCCCCTGCCAAAAAGCCTAGTTAGCATATTAATGTACACTAATGTTTTACTGTTTAGCCAGTAAGATGCTGAAGTCAGTCAGTTCAATAGCATGAATGCACCACTCCAGTGGCTTTACACATTCAACAATAAAGACTTGTGTGCTTGAAGTCTGTGATGTGATACTGAGCCACCAGCTGTGATGTACTGACAACAATGTAGTCATGGAGAACATCAACCTGCCCTATTCCCAGTGGAACAGATAAAAGAGGCATCTCTGGGAAAACTGGTTAGTGTAAAAGTGTTTGTAATCTGTACTTCAATGATTTATTTATACTTGCAAAAACATTAAAAAAGCCTTTCTTTATCCCCCCAAGCACTCAAAGAAAATTTATGCAAAATGTATAACATAGGAAAAGTTCCCCTGTATCCCTTCCTCCTGTACCCTAATGAGTTTGTTTCCCCAGAGAAATTCCCAGTTATATTTTACATTCCTATTAATAGGAAGAGAACTTGACCTGCAGTCGATAAATCATTGTTGACCAAAGCCTCATGCTAACAAACTAAGCCCCTCCATAGGCCTCACTATCCATCACTGCCTTTATCCACCACAAAAACCTACCAGAACAAATGAGTCTGGTACTAAATCAGTAAATCTGGACCGTAAAGAGAGGAGGTTATTTCCAGAACTGAGGATCCTTTATGGTTAGTGTCCTGCCTTCAGCCATCTCCTTTAAAAGTCAATGGTATCTACCATCAGTGATGTCCCTGGTCACACTTACAGAAGCATGTGGTGGGCAGGTAGATGCTTTTTCAGGATTTTTGGAACAAATAACATAAATTACCCAGGAAGACAGCAAACAGCATAAAAAGCTTTAGTTATAAAAATTTATTTCATAAATACATCAAAAAAAATATCCTGAACACAAGAGCAGAGTAGATGAGACCTACAATTTAAACACAAAACCCCCAGTGATAGGACAAGGGGCAATGAGCACAAGCTGGAACATGCTTAAACATGAGGAAAAACTTCTTTACTGTGAGGGTGACAGAGCACTGGGACAGGCTGCCCAGAGAGGCTGGGGGGTCTCCTTTTCTGGAGATATTCAAAACCTGCCTGGATGCAGTCCTGTGCAACTTGCTCTAGGTGAATCTGCTTTGGCAGGGGAGTTGGACTAGATGACCTCCAGAGGTCTTTCCAACCTCTACCATTCTGTGATTCCATGAAAACCCATTTTTTTTGTGTTAATGAAAGGTTCTGTCTTCACAAACCATAAATACGAAGCCCCGCTTTTACTTGTTGAATAGGGTAATGCTTTTCCAGCTCTTCCACACAACTTAATCAGCAAACTTCCATCCTGACCTGAAGACTCCACAGCTAAGAGCCAGGGCATCATTTACACACCATTCCTGTGAGTCTTGGGCCTCTCTGTGGAGAGTCCAAAGGGTAGATACCTGTGATAGTCACCATAAAGGGCATTCAGGCCCTTATTTTTATCACTACTGACCTGACACATACAGAAAGAGACAAGCTGGGGAAAGGTTGAGACTTTCTCATCTGGTCCCTGACCTAGAAAAAGGGTATGACAAGATCAGCAGATGTTACTCAACTGATTAAGTGACTATGAAAGAGGAGAATGAAGAGTGGGTAATCACAGCACATAATACCATTGAAAAAGGTAAATGTGGATTTAAAACCAACACAATCTATCATGCATCCCGGACAGGGTCACTAAGGAAAAAAAGTTCTGTCTTTTTTCTTTCTTTATGTCTTCCCTCCACCAACAAGAGCCCTTCTTTTCCCATCTTCTACCTCTGACATCAAGCTTCTCTGCT